TAGAAGTGGGAACTTGTATGACTGCCCATTGACAGCTCGGTTATATAGCTTAAGAAATAATATGTTTAAAGACATTTTTATTAAAGTTCGCCAATTTTGTTAAAGAAATACTCCCACGACCAAAGGCAAAAAATATTACCTACAAATTGTCATTTTGTTTGCCAGATATACGTTTTATCGGTGCACTTGCACAACATTCGCATTCGCAAAATCTCCGCATTGATTATTGCGAATGCGAAAGCGAATGCGAATATTAAAATTAATGCGGAAGCTCCGCGGTTGCGAATGCGAATATTCGCAACAACCCTGATAAGTAGTACAACTCCGTACACTACCACCAACACATTCTCATTTTTGGGTAACATAACTAATACATTCCCATTTTATACTTTTCTCTTTTTGGCTAGCACTGCTCTATATGCCTATGGTATCGTTAACTCAAGGTCAAATTCAGAAGAGCTATATTGAATTTTTAGGGTTTTCAACAGATTTTTCCCTACATGACCTTCAAATGACCTCGAAACTGACGTGATGAATACCATAGAGATATATAGGTTTGGTTCAATAAGCAGAAACTTTTTTTTGTAAACCTGTGTAATTAATGAAAAAAAATTTTCATGAAAATAGATGTGAATATTATATTAGAACAATGTGTACACTAACATTTGACACTGCCTATATATGCACAAACGCAAATAAATATGTAAAGAAAATTTATTTTTTTACACGAATTGAAAATATTGCAATTTTTGTTAACGTTTAGTATTATAAAAAATATAAACATATTGTTTAGCTGAGGGAGAGCGGGAGACCAGGTTTAGAGTTGTGGTCGAGTTAAAATAATAAGTCAGTTTCACGTTAGTTCTTTTAAAGTAAATTTGTGCATAATATTTAGATATCTACTATTTGTATGTTTTACAGCATGCTTTCGATAAACATCGACTTCACATCACTGCGGTTGTTCTGGCTATTTCACACAATTAACAAGAAAATGATACCTTATTCTTTTGCATAATCATGCAATGAAAATAAAAATTACATAAACAGATGATCAAACTTCACATTATTTAATAAAAATGTAATTTTTCCAAAATATCGTAAAGAAAAATCGATACATTTTTACACTCGTTTTGCTATATCGTAAACTAAGTCGAAACTACTTAGTAGAAGTCTGAAATGCGACTATGAATAGAGGTAAATTTTAAGTAGGTACTTAAATTTAAGTTGCAACTTTGTTAGTTTCGACTTAGGTGCTGGACTATGAATACGCGCCAAAAGAATTTGTGATGACCTGAATTGTTGATCTAATAAACAAATTTTTTATTTTTCCTTACATTTGTAACTCTTTCTTCTAATCTTAGTTAGAAAGTTCTTTGAGCGGCGGCAACACTGAGTGCGAGTGATGCTTAAAGCACCGTGTGATAGCCAAGCTGGGTTAGCATTGACCATAGCTGAAAATGCCAGCGACTTATCACTTCACTAAGTTTAGCGAAGAGAGATTTGAGAATTGCATAAAAAATACATACCCAATTAAGAACGAGCGAACTACTTTTAAACACAAATGCGTGTGTTTGTTCGCTGTACTTAGTTTTGGGCGGGAGTGCAATACAAGTGGGTGGGTGTTTTCGCTGTATTTGGTGTATGCGGGAAATGCAATATAAATGCGTGTGGGTGTTCGCTGTTCTTTGTTTTTGCGGGAAATGCATAAGTCGCTTAAACATCCTGGCCCCCCTAGACGACTTGATCGTCTAGTGGACTGTATCATAAGCCGCGGGTGATCCGGCTCGAAGTACCATGTTTAGCTGAGGGAGAGCGGGAGACCAGGTTTAGAGTTGTCGTCGAGTTGGAGTAGTAGAGGAGGTAGTGATGCGAGTGTTTATGTATCGAGGTCTATGACCCCGTATGGTTTATAGGTGCACATCAAGTCAGCCACGCACTCCATATGCCTAATATGCAAGAGAGAGAGAGAGATATGCGGGCAGGCTGATGAAGCGGTAGCGCAAGATGTGACCCTTTCACCATGCATTCATTGGCGGACTCCATTGGAGGAGTCATGCTGTAGCTGCCGTAGGCTGCTGTGCAATGAGCTGAATTTATTCAGGGATGCATTCATGCAGAGCCTCAGTGTGGTTTGTAAGCAGTAGCTTAATACCATTTAGGGATTAATCGATACAAGTAAATCCAAATACATAGTCAATACTTTCCTCAATTTACCAAGTATTTTTGTACTCGATACTTTTTACTGCGATCGAAGTAGGTTTCGAAAAAAGTACTTGTATCAGAAGAGCAAAATTTATTCCTAGCTAGAACAGTATGGCTTATATAATCCCTTATATGTGCCAAATCACTAAGAAAAGTATCTCTTATGAATTTGAAAACTTTCCATTATATTGTACAGACCAAATGGAGAAACCTAAGGGATAAATTCGTGTACGTGTGATCTTTTGTACCGCTCTTTTATATGGGCTTCTAGTATTTATGTATTCAATATCGCTCTCACTCGACACCGAATAGCTAAGGGATATATAAGGCATTGTCTATGCCATTAAATAAGGAACGTATAAGGTATCACTTGAGGAATTATATCAGGGATTAATTGAGGAATTATATAAGGGTTATATACGCAATTATATAACGGATTATTTGAGGAATGATATAAAGAATTATGTAAGGGATTATTTGAGGAATTATACATTACCCAAGTATATATCCAAGTTCGTATCGTACAGTAAGCATCGAGTACTTTTTAGTGTTTTATTTATTTCTTATTGAAATAAACAATATATTTGGGAATTTAAAATTAATACATTTTCGGTTCATTTTAGTGAATTCAATTTGATTTTCAATTGTACAAAATTTATTATGTGTATAGGTGTATGTACATCCATGTATTAGTTTACTTGTAAACTATTAAAATAATAATGTTTAAATTCAGTTTTTTTTTTTAACTTATTAAAGGCTTTAATTCCATTTCTGTAGAAACATTTCTTGTAATGTTAATTACATAAGTGCCGTACTGTTGAATGTTGTAAACTTTAAACAGCTAAATCATATGAATATTCACGCCGTTAAAAACAGTTGGTTGTGGTTTCAAGTCCTCTATATATTTGTTTAACCGCTTAAAGTTTACGACATACAACAATACGACATTTACGACACCGTTGCGAATACCCCAATAATAAATATAGTAATACAACTATTATTATATACTAAGATATGTATATGTAAACTAGCATTTTATAGATGTATGTATATATTATAAGATTATATTATACATATATGTATTTTATATTAGCTGTAAGTAAACAAAAGGAAAACTGTAATACTGAGGATCAAACGGTGGCCCTAATCAAGTGACCGGCACTGTATATGCATATACTATTTGTATATAGTACTAATATTAATTCATTATTTTAAATGTAGAAAGTGTACATACATACCATTAATTTAGTAAACAGGTATGTATCTTAACATAGGTATGTATCGTCACTAGACACGAATAAAGGCGCGAGCTCAAAAGTTGACGGCGAAAAAAGAGGCATAAAAAAACTTTAGCGTCAAAGACTCTTAACATACTTCGCCGAAGTTTTTGATAAGAATTTTTTTCGCAAAAATTTTTTACGCGCCTTTTTTCGCCCTCAAAACACTATCGCGCCTTTATTCGTGTGTAGTGACGGTATATATTATATAGTATATTATGTATATATGTAGAAACAACTATATACTTATTAAATGATATGTACATATATCTGCATATACATATGTATGTTAATATATATATGTACATGTGTGTAAACATAATTAATGATAAGTACAGACTTTTATATTTAAAATATGTATTTGAATAGTATTAAAATAATATCATATACACTTATGATCAGCTAATTAAGCCAGCAACGTTTTAATAAATTTTGGCTATCTTTATTTTGTTTAATGGTTATTCGTTTTTCATAAGTCTAGCTCATTATATAACAAATACCATATAAATCCACATAACACATTTTGTGCAAAAATTATAAAAACCGGCAGAGTTTAATCTAAATTTAAGTATGCAATTTTATAGTCCAATAAATTCTAGGAAAATAAAGTTTGAAGTTGCTAAAAAATAGCGTTGATTTTTGGAAATTTTTTAACGCATTTTCTTCGATACAAGTACATATATTTGACAGATTCTTTTATATGGGAAAAATAAGTAATACGGTCAGAAAAAAAATTACCAGCTTAAAATTTACACCATGTACACAAAAAAATTCAGAAAAATCTTATTAAATGTTAAAAATTTAGATGCAACTTTGCAGGTTTTTTTTATAATTTTTAAACAAAGTTTGAAATGTGGATTTATATGGGTTTGTTTTATAATTTGCTAGATTTTTATAAAAAAATAATAAACATTAAATAAACGAAAGAAGAATAGCCAAAATTTATCAAAACATTGCTGACTTAATTAGCTGATCACAAGTTCATTAGATAATGGACTGCTTTTTCAAAACATACATATATATATATATATGTAACTTTAAACAAACAAACAAAATTGCCCAAACTGGTGTATGTAGGTTAATTTTCTTACACTAATATTTACATTTTTTCTATACATTTATACAACACTTTTATTGTTTATTAAAAATTTCTTTTGGTGAAAGCGATTGTGACTCAACTCAATGCTTTTCCTTAACGCCTTTTCAAACTGCTGGCGACCTTCAGTTGCGAAAACCTCTGAAAAGAAAATTTACAAGTAAATAGTAGTAGATACGCTAGATACCAATTAAACATCTATTACCGCTTAAAACTTGGTTAATTAGTTTCAATTTTGTTAACGCCCTCTTCTCCTTCCTTCCATCAAAATTGAATAAAAAGGCTAGTTCGTCGGTCATGACCAGAGGTGGGCACTACCACAAACAAGCGTTAGCTAAAAGTGAGAATGTGTTAGTGTCCCTAATTCATTTTGCATGCTGTCGCGTTCTCATCGTTACGCTCATGCTTGTATACGTACACACGATGATTACGCTCTTTGAGCGTGTGCTCGTTTTCTGCTCATGCCTGGTCATGACCCTTCGGTAAACGTCATCCACCGTTCCGTTGCTTCATTTCATTTGGAACAAGTAGATTTTCTGTAAAAGTATTTAAATAAAAAGTAAAATGATTCTTGCATGTAATATAAACTCGGTCACCATTGATTCGAAGTATTCATGTTTTTCCAGCTTTTCTTCGACATTATTTGCTGCGACAATACCTGCCAAGGGCAACGTTGCAGCGATCTCTATTTGCATCTCGTCTTCAAGTTCGCACTTTACATTCGCGAATGGTCTGGTTTTGTGCCATTAGCGTTGTATTATCGATTGCCTTAAATACATTTATGTATTTAGGACATTACTACGGTATAAATAAATCAATAGTTTTACATTTTTGTGACGAGCCTTCTCCAAATTTTGAAGGCGCTCATCAAACTTTTGCTGGTTAGTAGTTATAGTTTTTTTGTTTTCCAAAATTTGCGCCGAAATAGCAGTTGGATCTGTTAAGTACAAACAAATGATGACAAATGAAATACCTAGTGCCAGACAGATGAATGTAGTAAATTTTACAAGTATTGACTACAGTAAATTTTGCTTAGCTGCACATCCGTCTTTGCACGAAAAACTTGTGCACGTAACCGAAAAAGGCACTTAAGCGAATTTTCTTTACTACTTCAATGAGGAAGGTATCCGAATCCCTATGAAACCAAATATTGGCGGAGCACTTACCATGTAGAAATTACTGCAAGCGAAATTTTTACTGATTGCTATCTAATCATCTATATAACTACATAAATTGATAGCCATTTTCGTTGTTCTGCGAGATGAGCAAAATAGCGCCTGTGCAGGTAAACGTAATACTTTCATTGATAATTGATACTAGTCGCACAATTTTTAAGGCAGGTATCGCCAATGTGCAGGTATGTTGAATGCATCTGCCGAAGCAGTTTCCTTATAAATTTTAAAAATAATGCCTCTGATGCGCCTTTTGGGGTAGGTGTCTTAAACGTGCACTTAAGCATAGAGGCAGCAAAGCAAAATATACTGTATTTTTCTTTTGACGGTTTAATGTTTTTCAATTTTGTTTCCAAATTTGATTGAAGAACGCAACACATTTTCATTTGAGATAGGGCGTGTTTGAACCGAATTCCGAAATAGGGCGTTCTTCAATCCAATTCTGAGATATGGCATTTAAGAACTGGCTGCCGAGAAAGGTCGATCTCTTACTCAGGGGGTCTACTCTGCATTGCGATTCGAAACTCAATGTGATTCGAAAGGCGACATGGACTAATACAAATTCATAGTTTCAAGTGTTCGAATCTGAATGATTTGCTTTGCGAATCGCAATACAGAGTAGACCCCCAGGTGTCGATTTGTTGTTGCATACATATATGGAAACTTAATTAATTGTTCAAATATAGTACCCAATCTGACTTGTAAATGGGAGTGGTTTAAAAATAAAAGTTAAAAATCCTATACCGCAATAACAAGTCAAATGGGGTTATTTTGGGGTTACCCTCGTTAATGTAAAAACTTGTGGGCAGTTTTTATAAATCATATACCTGAAGACGAATCCACGTAAATTTTTGCAGCCTTCGGCGTTGATTCGTTTGTGAATTCTGCAGCCACTGCTTGGTTGAAGTTGGCAGAAGTTGCAAATCGTTTTTTAATTACAATCGTACCTTTGAAATATTAAACATAATTATTATAAACACACATAGAGTTAGTCTCAGAAGTTTTCTGATTAGTTTCTTCAATTCAAAACGTCTTCCATTATAAATCTTTTTAGTTAATTTTCATTTAAAATACAGCTCATTCCACAACCAAAACCATATAAATCAATGTTGCAACCTTTCTACAAAATCCGCAAAAAATTGGAGAATTTAAAGAAATGGACATCGGAATTTCAAGCTTTTTAATCGGATTCAGTATAATAAAGTGCAAGTTTCAAGTAGCTAAAAATTACCGTTGATTACAATCCGATTACAAAGTTAGACATTTTGATGGCCTTTTTTTAATTCTCTACGTTTATGCGAACTTTGTAGAAAGATTGCAACATTTTATATATGGTTTTGGTTGTAGAATGAGCTATATTTTAAATGAAAATCAACGAAAGATATTTATATAAATTTTACTTGCTTTTTCGCTGTTTGAAGAGTTTTTCTTTTTAATTTTCTATTTCTGCTTCTGGCCGGCACTATTACTTTTTACTTTTGACAAATATTTAGCACATGCATATCTTGTACACATGTTAGAAGGAAGTGCCACCACTACGTTACAGGCTAACCTAATATTCGCGGCTTGCGTTTTGGTACGCATGCCGTCGAATTTGTTTTTTTGCGTCACCCGAAATTGAATTGCATGCGTTTGCATTTGATTTCATTGAGCGAAACGTCAAATCAAAATGTCACGCAGAACAAAAATTGGAAATTGAGTTAGCTTCATACGCACGCCGTTCAATTTCGGTTGATCTCATACAAGTTGCATGTGCATGAGAAATTTTTGACAATAAATTGGCGGCGTGCGTGAATATTAGGTTAGCCTGTTAAGCAGTATTAGAAGCCGTCACGTTCTTACATTCACAAGTAATTGGCAAATTTATTGCATTTGTATGCGTAAATTCACATCAGTTTATTTATGAATTTGTGAATCCCTTAGTGCGATCTTGCTGGGTTATTAAGGCTCGGAATCTCATGCAAATGCATGTTTTTCCTTGTCGTCTTCGGTGGTTAAGTTAGTCTTACGAATCATGAAATTTCCTTAAAAATGGCATTCAATCATTAGTGCTGTTGAGTAGTTGAACGTGCAACCAGCAATCTTGTATTTATGTCAGACTGCGATCTGACATTTACGATATTAATTTGAAAATTAACTGAAATTTGAAATCTTTGTTATGTAAGTCACCCTGCAACATATTTGTAAGATACAAAAAGGGTAATGCCATGATACATAAAAGAAGGTAGTTCCATTTAATGACATTCGTTGTTGTTGCTAACTATTTGACTTTTAATAAAATTATGACATTTCATCAAATTCATGATACCTGATCACTAGAAGAAATATATTTTTTTAAAGCAGAAGATTTTATCAGTACATTCAAAGATGTGGAATATGATGGAAAATTATGCCGGCTACATAATTTCGAAAATGGGGTTGATGCTAGTTTCAGAACACATGAAGAAAGTGATCAAAATTATACTTACATATCGTCGTTTAAAGTACAAAACCGCGTATCGTCGTTCTGCAAAACCGCGTAACTGACATTTTTTGCCAAATATTGGATTTGCTCACACAAGCTCTTGGCTCGAGTTTTATCCATTCGCCCTGAAATATACTAGCCAGAAATGCGATTGCTTTATAAAAAAGAGAACAATTTTGAAATATGAGTGTTTTTACTCTCTGGAAAATAATTTATGCCACCTCGCACACGCAGTTTTGCATTTTGTTGATACGTGGTTTTCAAGTTTTCTGTTCAAGCCGACTTCAGGTTTTTTGCATACATTAGAAACGTTAAGATCAAAATTTTTGAAAGCTAATTGTTTGCAAAATCTTATGAGAAATATAAAAGTATATGTGAACCAAAATATAAAAAGGTTTTATTTGGGAAGAACATTCGTTAGAATTAGATTTTTAGATCGCAGGATTGCATTCCAAGTAAGAAAACGAAAAAATAACAGCATAATGCGCGCGTGGTTTTTATTATAAAATAAAAAGAACAATTACGATGATGTCATCTATAATAGTCTATATTTTATATATTTTTAATGAAAATAGTGCGAGTTACGTAAGTAAAAAAATACCAAGCACTGATAATGGTTTTTGATTTTAAATATTATTACATTGGTATAAATATGGGAAGGAAAATACTCCGATTTATTGTTTTAATATTATCAAAGTGGCAAGGCCGATGATAATACTCACAATTTATGAAACTTCCAAAAATTTTATTATCCGTCAAAAGTTGTTTATTGAAACTACCTTCTTTTTTGTATCATAGGTAATGCTACTTCTTAGCAACCATTTTTCATTATAAAGAGCAAGGCTATTGAAAAAGCAGGTTGATGGGAACAAATAGCAAATAAGTAAGTTGAATTACATAAAATTGTATCTTATTAACTTATATTATTTAATGCAGATAATAAACTCTCTCCCGTAAACAAACGCAATATTTGTATATTAAACTGAGAATAGCAAATACCCAAACGGAGTTGGTGTTATTTTTGCTTGAATTCCCAACATCTTTATTATTTATTTGAACGTTTCAAATAAAACGCGTGTGTATGACACGACGCAGCGAGACATTGAAAAATCGTAGCTGCAAAATGCCCTCTTCAGACAAAATGGAAGATTCTGCTAGTGACAGCGAGCATGAAAAACAATGGTGGAACAAAGTGATGCTTCGGAACTCCACAAAAAAATTGCGGAGTTGCAAACACCTTTTGCAAGAGTCTAACAAAAAGAATGCTAGACTTGAACAGCTGTTTGCACCCACAGCAGCACCCTCAAATTTGCCAGCACAAGCGTCAATTATGCCGACGCCACTTACAACAAGCTACCCAGGAGCTAACCAGTTAGCGTTATGCCTGCCGACGCCTTCACTGCATATGCCTGCACTCGCCACGTCAACTGCGCCGACGTACTCCACTGCGGGATAGGCGGCGATCCAGTCCGTTCACGCCACGTCAACTTCGCCGACGTACCCTACTGGGGAATATGTAACTGCCCTAACGGTTCATGCCACGTCAACTGTGCCGACGTATCAACAGATGTCTTCAGCTTATATGCCTAAGCAGTTTATGCCAGCAGGACCAGCGCCAACTGTTCCGTCGACCCCTGCGACAATGCATAATTTTTGGCCAACACGTCAGGGAAATCTAAATTTGCCAATGAACTCAACGACATCGCTTCCGATGGGCAATCCAACACAAGGATATAGCCACACCATACGTAAGTTACAAGATCTCCCAGAATTTACAGGTCTACCCGAGCAATTGCCTATGTTAACCATTGCATACAAAGAAACAACAGATGCCTATCGTTATACGAATCTGGAGAATTTATCACGTCTTCAGAAAGCGCTATAGCGCGCAGCTAAAGCAAAGGTCTAAGCCTTTTTAATACACCCAGATAGTATCACTGCGGTCATCAGCACACTAGAGATGCACTACGGAAGGCCACAGATACTGATTAAAAGTCAAATAGCGAAATCGAGAGCCTTTCCGTTGATTTCCAGTTCAAGAATATCCGAAATAGTAAACTTTAGCACGATGGTTTCGAATCTGACAGTGTTTTTGCAAAATGCCTGCGCGACACCTCATCTGTGTAACCCAACGCTTTTAGATGAGCTAGTAAGCAAGTTGCCCCTATCGAAGAGAGAAGAATGGTATGTGCAAACGGAATACAATATCCGAGCATAATAGAATTTAGTCAGTGGTTGCAAAATGTTGCAATGTTCATAGCAATCGCCACCGAAACTGAGCAAAGTAAACCCGA